ATCGCCTACGGCATTCGGGACTGGAGGATTCTGCAGGCGGTTGGATCCATTCCCTCGCTCCTGCTGGTGCCGCTTGCCTTGTAGGTGGAGGGCGTGGGCGATCCTTTTGTGTTTTGCCTTTCTCTTTATTTCCCTTTTCTCTTTTCTGGTTTTGTTTTCCATTTTTTTCATGCTTGTTTTTGTTCGAGTCCTTTGCCTCCGTTTTTTTTATAGTATCTGGTTATCTTTTCCTTTGTTTGTCCTCTCCTTTCTTTAAATATGTATATATATATATATATATATATATATATATATATATATATATATATATATATATATATTATATGTTTTGTGATCAGATTTCTTGCCTAAAAGAACAATCACTTGTCTGATAACGTTTTCTCAAAGCTTGTTACGTACGAATACACCTTTCTTACTATTATCATTAGTCTCTCTCTCTCTCTCCCCCCCCCTTCTCTCTCTCTCATTTATGATCACCATACACAAAAGTCTCAAATATTAGTAGTTGTTCATCTGTACATGAATGTATCGTTTTTTTTTATCCTTTCTCCGTCGGGCGCAAGACTTCACCATTGTTTCTTTCAGCCTTCTCGAACCTTCTCTCCTGCTGTTCCCGAGAGAGTTTGGGCACCGGCTGTTGCTTGGATAGCGAGCAGGCAGGGAATCTTGGCCTAAGCAGGTGACGCTTAGGCTGCTGCTGAAGTGGCACTAGTAGAGTTGCAAATTACGCAAGATTTGCTAGTTAAAGAAGGATTGTTAGTTAAGCTTGCGTGATTGTTGTTTATCACGTTTAATCGTAGGTTCGTTTCTGGTGTTCATTGATTGCAGTAAGCAGTAAGTTTCACAGACAAAATAGGAAAATAAAAAGGAATATTCATACTGATCCGACATTTTCCTATATTCTGTCGCTGTTACCTCTGCTATCGTATCCATTCTCAACTCTTAATGTCTAAAAACAAACAAACAAAAATATTTCCCCAATCTAAGCATTGCACACGCAGAATAACCTCCCTCGTACATTCACCCAACCCTTTAATCTTGAAACTTTCCAGTGAACCTTAATCAACCCGTTTGCAGTTTGGTGGACGAGTCTCCGCGCTGGCTCTTGGTGAACGGGCACCTGGACGAGACGGTGAAGGTCCTCGAGCGCGCCGCCGCCCTCAACCGAAGCGACAGGGGAGTTGCCGCCCATTGAGGCCGCGGTGAACAAGAATCCACGATGTGAGTCTCGCGAGGTCTTGAGGGTTGGTGTTCGTCTTGGGTGGAGGCGGGGTTTGTGGCGGGGCCCCTGCTGCTCTTAGTCTGCGGTCATCGTAACGGTTCTAATGATATTGGCGCCAATAACAAAGTTGGTGATGATAACAAGAGTAATAACAAGAATAACAAAAGCAGCATTAAGTATAAAGATAATAATGTTGATAATGATAATGCTGATCATGATGATAATAATGATGATACTGATAATCATAATAATCATGATGATGATGATGATAAAGATAATAAAAGTGTCAGTAGTCATGATAATAATGATAATATCAACAATTAAAATAAATCTTCTACTACTACTACTACTGCTAATGATAATAACCGTAATGATAATAATGTTACTGCTGCTGATGATAGCAATAAATAATGGCAAATGGTAGTAATAATATAGTGAGAATATGAAAAACTATTACTATTGCTACTAGGAATAATAACAGTGACAATGATTATGATGATTATTGTTGTTTCTGTCATCATAATTAGTATGGTCACTATTATCCTTAAGCTATATGTTGTGATACCTGGAGCATTTCGTTATCATGTCCCTTTTAGCATTATCAGTGCTTGAAGAAAATGGAGTGATTGGATTTGATAAGAGGTTTCAAAACACATTTTGACTTACACACTCTTACATAATATAGCCTCAGTTATCATGGCCAAGGTTTTTTTTTCATTTATTGTAAGGATAATGTCAGTCAACACCATTTTCGAAATATGATGGACATTGATCTTTTATCTCACGCAAAGTTACGTATTCCCGTCAATATTGGTTTATTCGTATCCTGCAAATTGAAATGTAGAGATATGGTTGAAATTTCTTTTACCAATAACCAGTGTTGTAACATACGAGGGAGTTGTGTGTTTACAGTGAATGTTGAAAGGAAAGTACAACACAATGTTCAATTTTCACAAGTTCATTTTTTTCTGTTTTAAGGTAACCGGGAAGGATAGTTCTGATAGTTAGTTGGAGATAACAAATGTGAAATCCGTAATCTTAAGGGTAATTAGTTATTTTTTACATACAGAATGGAATTAATAATGTAATAATATATTGAAGCCTTAAAAAATGTGTACATGCGATGTATGTCGCTAAAACTTTACATTCGCAGCTAATAAAAATGGCTGAATCCCATGGGTTAGAGAAGCACATCACATTTTAACAAAAGGAATTGAAATTCAGATATAAATAATTTGATGCCTCTTGTGTGTAAATTATTTCCACGATTGCATTTGACCATAGCAGGGTACATAAGCAATATTTTTCATATAAACTTTCAGTTTCAAGACAATAAAGTAATATCACGTTTGGCTAAATGCACCTGATTTTTTTTCGGTAAGATGATGATTGAAATGTCACTGGATTCTAAACACAGAAGCAAGATTTTATTATTAACCAATAACCATTTGTTTATTCGTATTAATCAAAATCCTTTTAACTTACGCAAGATATGCATTCTGACTAATAGCTCAGATACTGCCTTTTCTTCAAAGCAGATTGTATTCAATATTTGAAACTCAATGACGATTAAATATTTCGTTCACATTAATAAAGAAATGTTTGATAATTACAGAGATTATCCGGTTCGAAGCCCACGGCAGCCAGGCACAGCGCGGAGAGCCCAAACCCCGCCACCCAGCACCCAGACGGCCTTCAGAACGGCGTCAGCGTCGATACAGCAGAAGGCACTTCGGGGGTCAACAAACCCCTGGGCATCGCTGACGGCTTTGGCGCTTGGTGGGCGGGACCCGTGGCCTTGGTCCGCACGGGCGTGATGAGGCGCCTCTCCCTGGTGCTCGTGGTGATCTGGCTCCTGCAGGGCATCGTTTACCTGGGTCTTCCTCTCAGCGCCAACGCCTTCAGGTACGATAAGAGGTTTTCCCCTTGGTGGAATAGGAGGAGGATGGAGGGGATGGAGGAAGGACGGCGTTGGGAACTGACGCAAGTCGTCTGGACTTCTGGAACCTAAATGGAGGAAAGGAATAGGTCTAAGGTGTCCATTTTAAGCTAAAATTGAACTTCCTTATCTCTGGTGCTGTTGGTGCAAAGACTCTGTTGTCTTTCTGAATGTAGATCTAGGGTTTTTGACAAAGGTTTGACAAAGTTGAAACAAACATGTAACATTCGTTCAAGGTCGTTTCCTTCTTTAACAATAGTTGCCATTCTCAATTTCAACAGTTCCCCCTTCCTATACATGGCACTCATGGGTGCCGTGGAAGTGCCAGCTTACAGTGTTTCCGCGCCGATCACGCAGCGCCTCGGGAGGCGTCCGGTCATCTGCTTCTGCTTAATCAGCTGTGGTCTCCTGCTACTCAGTTTGCTGCTGCTCGAGATGTACGGTATTAAAGAGGGTAGGTTGTGGAATTCAATATCCGTTACATGGGATCAACAGATACACGTTATGAATTTTGCTTTCAAGAAGGTTTAACAACAATGAATTTTTAAAAATCGCGTGGTGATTTTAAATGTTTTTGAAAAGCCACTGTCTTTAATGTTCATACACCTCTGGCTTACAGAATGGGTCGATTTACTGCTCGTTCTACTGAGCTATCTTATGGTGTGCACGTCTTATCAGGTGAGGTTGCTATATTAAAAAAAATAATAATAATAATTGCGATTTGATATGATATCGAATCCAAATCCTAGAATAAATTATACTTGATAATACTGATACTACAAATTGAAAAATGCAGAAAATACTTCCAGTGCTTCAATCATATTTCAATTTAAAAATTGATCTTGAAATGTCAAAATTACCATAAAGTTACTAGACAAACTTCACCATTACCATTCTGACCAGTGCCGTAAACTCCAAACTCAGCTTAATAGTCATGAACTGACCAGGTAAACTTTAAACTTGTAAACTAAACCGTCATGGAAACATCGAAACGACTATGAACTGAGCAGGCAAACTTCGCTCATAAAACGGTCTGAAAACTAACCAGAATAAACTTCAAACTCCCCAAATCAATCGTGAATATAACCATATATATACTCGAAGTTTCCAAACACCCCAAACACTAAAACGACCCATAACTGACCACACTCCGCACTCACCCAACTCTGCACAACCATACCACGCAAACTTCACAACTCATCAGCCTAACCATGAGCTCGATCTTCAGGTAAACTTCCTCTACGCACCTGAGCTCCTGCCGACCACCATACGGCCCTGGGGAACGGCCATGTGCACGCTGTCTGCTTACATCGGCTTCAGCATTCCACCTTTCATCACAGATTACCTGGTAAGGGGAGAGAGAAGGAAGGGACGGGGGGAGGAGGGGAAGGAGGGGGTAGGAGAAGGGGAGGGGCGAGGGAGGAGAAGGAGGAGGAGGAGGAAAGGTAAAAAGAGGTTAACAGTAGGTGGAAGGTGAGGGAGGTAGGGAAGCGGGAGATGGAGAAGGGAAGAAGTGTAAGGAGTAAGAGAAGGAAAAGAAGAGTGAGTGAGTAGAGAGAGGAGAGAGAGAGAGAGAGAGAGAGAGAGAGAGAGAGAGAGAGAGAGAGAGAGAGAGAGAAGAGAGAGAGAGAGAGAGAGAGAGAGAGAGAGAGAGAGAGAAAGAAACAACGGGACAAACAGAACATCAAAAGATTAAAATACAGCAAGGATTCCATTAGGTTTGTCGAGACACCTGTGTTAATCCTCATTATTAACCAGTCTTGACAAAACTTACCTTGATATTTGATTCCTCACACACGTATGCCTCTCCAAAAGGAAAAAAAGAAAGAAAAGAAAAGA